TTGGCTCCCACGAGAAGGTTTTACATCTTTAAAAAAACAGTTGGGACCCCAAGAAGGTTTCACACTCTTACAAAAAAAAAAAATTGGGGCTCCGGGGAAGGTTTCATATTTTTAAAGGAGACAGTTGGGATCCCTGAGAAGGTTTCATATTAAAAAAAAAAAGATATTTGGCGCCCCCAAGGCTTTACATCTTTCAAAAAACAATTCAGATCTCCGAGAAGGTTTCACAATCTTACAAAGAGACATGTGGGGCCCCCGAGAAGGTTTCACTTTCTATAAGAAATGACAGTTGGGATAGCCAAGAAATATTTCATATTCTTAAAAAAGATATTTGGCTCCCCCGAGAAGGTTTTACATCTTTGAAAAGACAATTCAGATCCCCGAGAAGGTTTCACATTCTTACAAAAGACATGTGGGGCCCCCGAGAAGGTTTCACTTTCTATAAAAAAGGACTGTTGGGATAGCCGAAAAGATTTCATATTCTTAAAAAAGACATTTGGTGCCCCCGAGAAGGTTTTAAATTTTTAAAAAAGACAGTTGAGACCCCCGAGAATGTTTCACATTCTAAAAAAAAAACAGTTGGGACACCCGAGAAGGTTCCACATTTTTAAAAATGACAAGTGGGATTCTCGAGGTTTCATATTCTTAAAAAAGAGACATTTGGCTCCCCCGAGAAGGTTTTACATCTTTAAAAAAACAGTTGGGACCCCCAAGAAGGTTTCACATTGTTACAAAAAAAAAAATTTGGGGCTCCGGGGAAGGTTTTATATATTTAAAAGAGACAGTTCGGAGCCCTGAGAAGGTTTCATATTCTTATAAAAAAGATATTTGGCGCCCCCGAGGTTTTACATCTTTCAAAGGACAATTCAGATCTCCGAGAAGGTTTCACATTCTTACAAAAAGTCATGTGGGTCCCCCGAGAAGTTTTCACATTCAATAAAAAACACAGTTGAAACACCTTAGAAGGTGTCATATTCTTAAAAAAGACATTGGCGACCCCGAGAAGTTTTAACATTTTTAAAAATGGCAATTGGGATCTCTGAGAAGGTTTCATATTCTTAAAAAAAAACATTTGGGGCTCCGGGGAAGGTTTTATATTTTTAAAAAAGGCAGTTGGGATCCCCGAGGAGGTTTCACATTCTAAAGACATTTAGGGCCCACGAGAAGTTTCACATTCTATAAAAAATGACAGTTGAGATACCTGACAAGATTTCATGTTCTTAAAAAAGACATTTGGCGCCCCCGAGGAGTTTCTAAATTTTTAAAACTGACAGTTGAGACCCCCGAGAAGATTTCACATTCAATAAAGAAAGACGGTTGGGATCCCCAAGAAGGTTTCATATTCTTAAAAAAGACATTTGGGGACCCCGAGATGGTTCCACATTTTTAAAAATGACAGTTGGGATCCCTGAGAAAGTTTCATATTCTTAAAAAAAAGATATTTGACGCCCCCGAGAAGGTTTTACATCTTTGAGAAGACAATTCAGTTCCCCGAGAAGGTTTCACATTCTTACAAAAAGACATGTGGGGACCCTCGAAAAGGTTTCACTTTCTATAAAAAAGGACTGTTGGGATAGCCGAAAAGATTTCATATTCTTAAAAAAGACATTTGGTGCCCCCGAGAAGGTTTTAAATTTTTAAAAAAGACAGTTGAGACCCCCGAGAAGGTTTCACATTCTAAAAAAAAAAACAGTTGGGACATCCGAGAAGGTTCCACATTTTTAAAAATGACAAGTGGGATTCTCGAGGTTTCATATTCTTAAAAAAGAGACATTTGGCTCCCCCGAGAAGGTTTTACATCTTTCAAAAGACAATTCAGATCTCCGAGAAGGTTTCACATTCTTACAAAAAGACATATGGGGCCCCCGAGAAGGTTTCACTTTCTATAAAAAATGACGGTTGGGATAGCCAAGAAATATTTCATATTCTTAAAAAAGATATTTGGCACCGGGATGCCTTACGCTAATAATAAACTGTTATTCTAGAGTGCATTATGTGTTTGCAAAAATTTAGATATTGGAGCATCTTCTGTCTTGTTTCATCAACTTCTCAACTCATAAGTTGGCCCTATCGGTTTTCTAAAGACAATTGCACTTCAGACCAAATATAAGCAAGTGTGTTTCTTAACATAATGTGTTCGAATCATTGACAGTGGCGGTGTATGGGTGATCAGAGTATGATACGTGAATGAATTCAGAAAAACAAGTTCAATAAGATTTCCAAAAAAATATGTGGTGTTATTAGAAAAAATTTGGATGTCGGAGACGAATCCAAACCAATTTAGAGCTTGTCAAAACACATTTATAGGATACCATTTAGCTTCTTACACTGTTACGGGTATTACTTATCTCTACTTGTTTTAATGTGTAGAGGTTAACATAAATGACAGTTCGCAAATTTTTTTTTTTTTATTTTTCAAAAAACTGGGATTTGTTGACCCAATTTTTTGCGTAGGTCCAAGAGAACAACTAAGTATGCACAAATTCATTGTTGTACTTTCTTTCTTCTTTGTTGTCTACGCTTCGTATACTATCTTAGTTGATTTTCATTTAGTGCTACATGTTATTATTATTATTATTACTCCTTTCTAATTCAGTTTTCTTACTTATTCTGTTTTCTTGTTTTTAAGGTACATATTACTGCGTTGTTATATGATGAGGGTGCTGGTCCATATTTTAGCGAAACAATTTTAATTCATGCACATACTTGACAAGTTTGGCTGCAATCAATTCACTTTAATCAAGCTCGAACATCGTCAGGTGTAACCCGAAGTGAGGCGATCGTACCCGAACTTGCCAAGCATGTGCGCAATTTCAGATTTTCCCCCATCATATAGCTACTAGCAAGAATGGCGATCACGTGCTTAAGCCGTCTGTTTCCTACAATTTTCAGTTAAACTTTATTTTTTGTCCCGGTTGCTATTCTTATAGCTTAGTTGAGAGTTAATTCTATATTAATAATTAATTCTAATATTTCTACTATGATGTTTTTTGATCTGGTTTTTAAAATGTCTTTAAACCGCGAAAAGATTGACACTTGGCTAGTTCTCAGAGAGAAAAAAGGGTTTGGTGTATTTTTTTAATGACCAATAGGAAAACATTTTGCTTTCATTTAATAATCAGGTGCTAGGTGACGAATTGCACGTGGATATCTCCAACAGGACGGGGCGACAGCGCATTCTGCAACAGACGCGTTAATATAACTATCCTAATTATCCACAGATCTCATCAAATGAAAAAAAAAATCGTGCCACGTAGGCACGTTTTTCAAAATGAAAAGACTTAAACAAGTCAATCTAACCAACATTGATAACAATGATCTAACAGAAATTTCGAGTATTATTGTAAATTGTGCTTTGTTTTCATTTTCGCAAATTCGTTTCGCTTATTGTTTTTCCAATTTTCGAAAACTATCCACGTGTTTTGGCACAGAACCAGAATTTTCTTCTGTAAAAAATGTTTTCCGAAAATCATAAGCAATTCATCCTCATTATTTTGAAGCAATATCGGAACATGCTGCAGGAATTTATTGACCAGCTTGATCCTGAAGAATTACCGAATGGATATTTTCAGCATGATGGCGCAACAGCTCATAGATCGTAAACAGGCTCGAGCTTTCTCTAGGAATTTAATTAGCTCCGACGCAGACCATATCACCTAATTTGACACTTTCAGATTATTTATTGTTCCCGACTTTGAAAAACACTATTTTTAAACAATCAGTAGATGCAATCGAAAACTTAAAAGTGAAAATTATGTAAAAGTCTGAACGTCTTTCCCCGGTAGTTTTTCAGTTATGTTGTACAAATGTTTTAGTTTTAAATATTTCTCAGTACTAAAACAAAAATAATCCTAAATACGCATAAATAATTTACATTAATGTTAATGTTGAATTTTATAATTAAGCACACAAAAGCTCTACTTCCAGGACAACAACACACCACAAATTTGCTACACAGGTAATCGACCTGTAATGACGCGTTGTTAAAAACACAAGTAATTTTAGTTCATTTTAATACTGAAAAAAGCTCCTAAGACCGCCACAGAAAGCTTCTGCTGAAAAAGCCTGTTCGTTGGCGTCATTTTTCTCCCTTGTGATCAATGTTTGATTAAGTTGCTCTACAAAAATAGCAAAACGTTCTGCAGTCTTCGTCTAGTCCCTGAGTAAGATCTGATTACCATGAGAAACTGAAGCCCTTCACTGAGCTTTTCGCTGAAAATGAGAAAACATATATATTACTCTACTTAGTCTTCTTTTCTCTTTAGTACATTAATGATAACTCTTCTAGGGGTTTTAGATATTTTTATGTAGCTACAAAAATTTTATTGTGGGGACTCAACCGATTTGTATTGTTTTGTATCACAAGGTAAAGTGCAGTTTGTGTATATTTAGAAATCTGAGAGACGTTAACGTCAATAAAGTTATTTCAGATTTAATCCGGCGACATTCCTGTGTTACAGTAGCATCTACTTTGTCACTTGTATCGTGTAAGACAAGCCAAGACTGCTCATTTGACTCGTTTTACTGCTAAATGTGTCTCTAGTTACATTAGACGTAACTAATACTGTACTTCATACATATCTCCCACTGTTTGTTGTTTTGCCAGGAAACCTAACATCCTGCAACTGTGTTTTAATACGTTCAGTTATCTCAAATGTGATGTTTGCGTCAATCATACGAACACACAAACTTAATTAACTGTTTAACTTAAATTTAGTTTTTTCCTCTCGATTAAGTAACAAGCACCTATATTGCAAATAACCTTAAAGATTTAAAGGTTTACTTTGTTCAAGACTTCCACTCGGAAACAGCTTCCAGCATCTAACAAATTGTTAATTGTGTTAATCTCCCAGCTTAGGATTTAAACTTTAAACTTAGAAACTTTTAATATACACCACTTTATATCACGCGCAACTCTAAATTTCAGGCATTCTTGATGCCCCAACTATACAGATATACCCCGGAGTCACTTAATCCCGTTCTTTTACTTTTCGTTGCAGACATTCCATCACCTTCCACCCAGAAAACCACAACTTCCACCACAGCCGCTCCGATCAACTTATCACTGGAAAAAGGTAACAACTTAACTCAACCAAACGTACTTACGACTCCTCTTTTTTAAGTAGACACGTCAAAACAACGCAGCCGACCGAAGGAACCGGCCCCAGACCTCGGCACCAATGAAATATTTGAACCTGAAACAACAAAAGAAAGAGGTAAATGTGCGAGACACGTTCGAATTTATGTGTGTTTTTCCTTCTCCTTTCCACCGTTTCACTTGGCATTATGTGCTTTTTATTTGCTTGTAAATGCTAGTCGGTCCGTTAGGAGGACGTGTGGAAAGCGGCACCATGCCAGATTAGGATCTACCGGGTGTTGTCTCATCGTACAGCCAATTTAAACCCCGAAACAATTCAAGACAAAATATTTAGTTCGACACGATGAGGCTCCGCCACGTTATCACTTATTAAAGAGGAAACATGTTGTAGTTGACACACCCTGTATATTTTCCGCAGATCTCCGTCTACGCAGCAACCCCAGCGAAACCAGCCAGGAACACAATATCCACGACAGTTTCTTCTTCTCGTCAGCAACGAGGCTTTGGTCGAGCTGGCTATGGCTTATCACTCTTGTTATTGTTTTCACCTGAAACGACGGCTGGGTAGGGAAATTGTAATATAAATGTAATATATCGTTGCTCTCGGTTATTTTTGTCGAAGATTGATATTTCAGTATTATGTGCATTCCAGTTAGTTTGTCCCGGGTAATAAATAACAACGCCCTGTGTTGCCACCTCTGTCACGTGTCATGTAAATAAATAAAAATCAAGTAGCAAGTGGTATTTTGTTTGATAAGTAAGTAGGTTTTAATGCTATAGGTGTAAGTAAACCATCTCCGATTTTTGTAAATAATTTCATCCTAACGTGCGTCCCTGCTTTTTCCTTCTGAATATGATGTAGAGGCTAAATGACCAGCCTATATATTTTTAAACAAAACTCGTGTATGTTTTATGTAAATATAATACTCTTGACTGTTGCAGAGTTGAGACTGAAATTATTTTATTGTAATTTGTGTTTTAAGATCTGTAATTCTTTTAATAAAATCTTCTAATTTAAATTAGATTTTTATTCAACATTCCCGACGCCCACGAAAACGAGGATATTAAAAATGTAATTGATGTAAAACGCTTGGTGCTACTTTAAGTGGGCGCAGATAATAAAATGGAAGCTATTTTTAAATAGCCCCAACATTTTACTTAAACTGTGTTATCTATTTCTTAGTAACTCGAATTTACACGACTAATTACACAGCGATTACGCACAAAATAATTCCGGCTTGACTGGCTTCTCTCAACATTCGCTGGACTCGACTCGACTGAATAGTAATCGTTCCCGAAGGTGGCCTGTATTTAAACCCATACTACCTTCTAAATGTTCGGCGATCGAGGTCTTTCTGGAATCGCCATCGCAAGTTCCGCTTCCAGACTTTTCTTTAGCGAACACCGCCCGGCCGCCGTCACCGACGATGAGTCATCGTCGTACGTACTAGAACTCATAGGCGCTCTGCTTCTATTCATGTTAAAATTTTATTTTTTTTAAATTTATTTATTTAAAATAAGCAAACCTACTAATTATGGAATGACAAAAACTTTATTACAATTTATGTAAAATTTTTGATAACTGACTAAGCCGCCGCGAATTCTCCTATATAAAATGTCTTGTTTCCGGGTTTTGTACGCTGCCAACTTAGACCGAAAAAACAATAGGCCACAATTTTGTATTCGCCTATAATTTTGTGGCCTGAATTTTGTGCTAATTTAGATGACTTCTTTCGCTTCATCAAATGTGTGTGCACAACATATCGCTCCTTCCGCGAGCTTTGCCGTGTTTGCATACACACCGTCTTATTCGCTCCGTGAGCTCCGCTCGGTAAATATGTTTGCTTCATCAACTTTCCATACATCTGGCGTCGTATCCAACCAAGTATGATATATTACAAGTAAACTCGACGAGTTCACAGCACAATTATGACCAAACTTGAAGTTAGAAATTTTCAAAGTGGAATTTGGTATTTAATTCCAGTGCTGCAGTTATTTCCGGACTAATTCTAATAGCGTACAATGCAAAACAAATGTCATCTCTTCATTTATTTACTGCCAACATTAATTGCCTGTCAGTTTAAAGTCGCCACTGATAAATTTCTTCTATTCTGACTTTTATAATATGCCAACTAGCAGCCAATTTCACGTTTGACGTAATACAACCATGATGCAGAGATTTCATGAGCCGAAACTTTGTCCTCGTTTGTTTTTATTTTCCCGCAATCTAACTGCTATAACCGGCCGTTAAAGGGAGCGATTCTTACCTTCCCCAGCTGGTGCAGACCCACCTCGGCTAATTAAAAATGTTGAGCAGGCAAAAATCGTTTAGATTTGGGGTAGAGGGCCATTTGGAAGGAAACTCCAGCCTGTTTTCGCTTATACGTTCATTTTTGGAAGCGCTAGCCATAACAGTTGTGGTTGTCGACTTCGATATTATCTGGTGCTTAAAAAAATGTATATGGCGAGCTCCAGATTGCCTTAATAAAATCATTTAGCGGTCGGTGGTGCCTTTAAAAACCCTCCCGGTCTTAATCCTTCTAAGCATCAGTTTCCGGATGCTAGGCGGTTCCTTGCGGCCTCCGAGGCGAATCTTAGCGTGTGCTAATGAAACCCTCAGTGTAATTAGATGTGTTTGATAGTGCAGCCCTTGGAGTATATTTAGTTTGAAGGAGGCGGCGTCGAGGGGGAAGTGACCTCCAGCCACCGCATCCGGACTACATTAGCTTATCTTATACTGTCACGGCTTTGAACGCGCCGAGTGATGTCAGCTGCCAAATGAGAAATGTTCGCCGATTGTGTAGTCACTTTGTGTCAGTTACAGGTTGAATGTGTTTGTTCATTGAATAATCAATAGCGACGAATGTGGCGCGCTGTATATTACACCATGATTGATTGTCGCAGGATTGCGTCAAAACAAACTTTCGCGCCAAGAATACGGTAATGATTTTCTTATTTGAGTGGTGTGGAGCGGCGTGGGTCGAACCAAATTCAACAATTTCGCATTTCACGAAAAGTTTAAGGTTATAATAGAAGTTTTTGTTAAAGGGCCACGGGCAAGCCTTTGTAGAACTTATGTTGAACACCCAGTTTCAATAGTTCCCTTCTCCTTCACACCTGCACGCGGTTTTAAAAATATTTTTCTTATTATCCAAAGCTGGGTCAGTCTTTGTATCCTACTGTAATAACCAACCTGATTACAATTTGCACTGGCAAGTTGTTCAAAAATTCACAATGACCCAAACAACTTAAAATCACCAGGGCGATACTAAACCGGTGCTCAGAAACAGTGTTTGCCTTCAGAAATCACAAACAGAGCAAATTTTGACACAAACATGGTTAAAAGTTGCAGATCAGGTGAAAATCAATATAGTCGAAAGGGCAAAACACTCAAAGAGAAGTTTAGTTTCTTGTGATGAATGTGAATTTCGAGGCAAAATATTTGTGACTCTGCAAATGTCATTAGAAAAGTTTCCGTCAATCAAGGCATCTCTCAAAAATGTCTACTTTCTTTTTTGGGAAATCATTGCTACATGCGCCTGATCTAAGATCATCAGAACTTTCAGAAGAAAATAGCCTCGATTTCATGTCCAAATATTTCCCATCTGTTTGTATTTGCTTTTGTATCTCTTTCTTGCTTGAGGAAGTACTTTCCATGTAGTTTTTCCGAGTTTCCATTAACTACTTATTCTTAAGTTTTCTTTTAAAGTTTTTTAGTTTTTTGCAATAAGCAGTATACTCTATTATTGTTGAGATCTTCACCCCTTTCATTGCCCAGTATCCTACTTTGTACTGCTTAGTTTGTCTATTTGATTCTTGTTTGCTTTCGGCTGAGACTTCCGCAATTGGTAGCAGTCTCAAAATCCATCCCTGCCTCAAACCTGTTGTCGTTTACGTAGTCTGAATTTTATCCTATTTCATTCTAACGTAATTTCCGGTTTTCCTCTAAACGTATTTTATTATTTTATTATTTTCTTTCGTCCATTCCGTTTTTCCACAATATTTTTTGTCATCCTTTTTTCCCATTTATTTGTCCTTTTCTGAATTTGCACTCTTATTCCTGTTTACCAGTCATCTCGCACTGCACCTATTTTATTCATTACTACGAGTATTACTAATTTTTTAGCTCCTTGTTCTTCCTTTGTCTTTGTCAGTAGTTATATAGTGGGGCTTCTAGACCAGGTCAAATGAGGTCAAACTGGTCCAGCAGCTCCATTACTTTTTATCGATTGATCTCTGAGGTCCGTCATCGTCTTGTTCTTTGTTGACCTGATCTCGGTTAGTAGTGTCGTGCTCGGAACATGTCGGGTGTTATCGTCTTGTCTTCGGTTGACCTAACCTCGGCCGAGTTCGGGTAGTGTCATGTTCGGCACGTGTCGGGGACGGTCGTAGCGTTTGTCGTCGTCTTTTGTGTGGGTTTAATGACCCCTTGGGTCGTGTTTTGTTCTCTAACCTGACTATCCTCTCATTTAGCTTAGTAGAAAAATATATATTTATAAAACAAATCATTTAAATGTAGTCAGGTTCGCCGAGTGGACTAAGGCGTTAGATTTAATATCTGATTCTCGAAAGCATTGATTAAATATTGTTTGGAGCGAACAGGCCAAAGGCCGGCGAACAAGAGATGGCGCACCGACATTTGGCCGTCAAACGCCGGCAAAAAACTTGGACACCAATCACGCGCATAGGCAACCCAAATCACAGCAACAATACATTTAATAAATCTACCACTCGATAGAGGGCGACGAAAAACATGTGTAAAAATCTCATAGTAAGCATTTAGATAATTTACAACGTTGCCAGATGAGCCTAACACAGCTTTGCCGTTATTTCTAGTCGATTAGATTTTATTTCGTTTAAAAGTTTCTGGGAAATAAATGGAATTATTATAATGAATAAACAATACCAACAAAATATTACTTGTTATTTTAAATACTTGTTAGTGTTGATGAAAACATAATTGGTAATTAAAGTTATTCTAAATACGGTCCGGTAGCTCAAATTTTACAGTACGAGTGGGATGTTTCAGGACGAGTAGGTAGCCGAGTCTTTAATTTCGAAACGAGTACTGCGAAAAGAGTTACCGGACGTATGTTGTTATGTATTTTATTTCATACTGTCAACATATTTTTTTATTCGATAAAATAGGTATTATTTTGAGAAAAAATCCAAATGGAGTCACGTTTTCTGACATCGTTAGCAACCGCTGTTTGGTAAATGTTTTAATTTGTTTATTCGTGCAAATCAGGACCGAACATTTTTCTTGGTTAAAACTAAAGGAAACACAATTATTACTGAGAATAAAAATAAAGAATATCAAGTCCTTGTGCTATGTATTAAAAATATTTAATTTAAATAAGTAAATTATGTTAATAAACCATAAAACCACAAAAATATTTTTTTAACACAAATTATATTTCAATAAATTTTCAGTAGCGAGTTATCGATATACTTAATTGTATTTACATCATAAAATGTGAAAGAAAATGTCTTATTTTTCACTTTATGCGGCATATGTTACCCGTTTTTAAGATATACAGCCTATTATTGAAAGGTACGTACAAAATAAAATCGGTAATTGCTCTCGAAATATGGGTGCTAAAAGTTAAAAAAAGTTCAGGTAAAAGTGTTCCCCTTTTAGAGATAAAAATTAAAAAATGTATGTCCAAATTCGTTGTACGCCTCTGATAAAAAGATCATCTTTCGTTTCTATAGCAACATTTAGTCTTGACAAAAGTTTTATTGTTACAGTTGCTAGGATTTACTAAAATAAATTAATTTTACCTATTTATCCTTCAGTAGCGTCTAAAAAGGTTGGATAAGAGTTAATTTACCCCTTATAATTTTGATAACACAAAATAAGTTTTTCCGACTTCTTAGATTTTGCTAAGAACTGTCCATTTTGTTGTACGTACCTTTCAATAACACCGTGTATATGAATGCATATGTTTTGTCTTTAGTATATATCTGCCCATCTCTAGTCTAATAAATTTTCTAAAAAAATATAGTAAGTTATGAG